GCGAGCAACTAGCATCTCAGGGAATCGCTGCTCAGGCTTGCTGCATCAGATGTGGAGCGCTGGAAACGACAAGCCACCTATTCCTCCACTGCCCTTATGCTCAGAGGGTCTGGAGCTTAGCCCCGATAAAGGACCATCAAATCCCTATGAATTGAACAAATATCACCACCGGAGTATCAAATGCCAAGGACTTCCTCTGTCTACCGCCAACAGGAATTGCCTCAGGACCGATCGTCCCTTGGATCTTCTGGTCTTTGTGGGGGGGGGGCGAGGAATACCAAAATCTTCAATAACCGAAGCTACACAGAGGAGGAGACGATTCTAAAAGCAATACAGGATGCAAAAGAATGGCTTTCGGCACAGACGGCAGATCCAAAGATCACGAGGACACTCGACACCTTCCAAACATCATCACCTCGACAGACTTCAATCCTGAGAGCTTTCTCCGACGCCGCTTGGAGAGCAGATACGAACACGGCAGGGCTAGGTTGGATCATCTACAACCAATCTGAGGAGATTCTTCATCAAGGAAACTTCGTCGCCACGCAGATCGGAAGCCCTTTGATGGCGGAGGCGATGGCGGTCCGAGAACTCCTGAAGAAGGCGACTCTCCGAGAATTTCATCAACTCCAGATCTCATCGGATTCCAAGACCCTGATCAACCTCATCAAATCGAATAACTACCAGCTAGAGATCCACTCAATCGTACAAGATATCTACAACCTCTCTAGAACCCGAAGATCTATGACTTTTCAATTTGTTCCTCGAAATCAAAACAAACAAGCGGATGAAATCGCAAAACATGCTTTGTACTCATATTCGTTAATACCGGTATGCATGTAACCGAGATTTAATGAGAATTTTCACCCTTTTGACAAAAAAAAAAATCTATGTTTGTGTTTATTACTTTATTTATTTACCATATGCTCTTTTAGTATCATTTCAATTGATTTTTTTAAAAACTTTTTGTTTTAAATTAGATGATTTTTATTTTTCAGTACAAAATTAAATGATGATTTATTTAATATTATAATTTGTATGAAATTTTTTGAAAAATGACACTTTTGAAGTGCCACTTTTAAAAAATATCAATTTTTTGAAATCTTTGCAAAAATG